TTTAAGGGCAACAATTAAATAAATCCTTCCGATATCAGTGCGCACGGTCTGCTGCCTCGAAGTGCTGGGGGGTCGCGGAGGGGGCGGCCCTGGTCCGAACCCTGCGCCGCCGTCGTGGTGGTGCAGTAGGTCATGTGTCAGGATGTGTCGTGGGGCCGTACACGGGAGTGCACACCGTAAAGGACATGCCTGTCCTCGCCGCCACTCCGCGCCTCGCCGCGCCCTCAGCACCTGCCACTCACTTCCTGGCGACTAATCAGCCAATCAGCCGGCGATCCTGCCTGCATCAAACTCCCGCGCATAATTAACAAAGTAGCAAAAATAATAAATAATTAAAATTTTTCCAACTAAACATTCTTGCATCCTGGCACACATACACACACGCGCGCATTCTTTTTCGCACGGGCGTCTCGAAAACTGAGCGCGCGTCCGGGCGCGTCTTGGCGGGCGCTGGGCGCACCCCTCCCCCCGCGGCGAGCCCGACGGAGCGGCGTCGCGGGGCGCAGAGTTATAGCCAAGTGTTTTGTGCACAGGAAACAGACGCGGCGCGGCGCTACAAAATGGTTGCGGCCGTCCGCGATGTTTGATGGTTTACAAGTTGCTTACCCTGCTCGCCAAACCGCCGCAGTGCGCCGCGCACCAACGCCCACGCGTGTTTCTTTTGTTTGTTTTTTCGCGAGGCGCGTACACCCTCCTCCTCGCCGACGACGCGGTCCTCGCAGACGACGGGGACCTCCTCCACAACGGGGACCTTGCCGACGACGGGGTCCTCGCCCTGGCCGCGGCTCCGCCTGCTAATCCCATCCTTAAAACCGTTTGACTCATTGCCTTGTCCGACCCATGACCCCGCCAGAGTCCCTCCCGGCGCTGCGGCCCAGCGCGGCCCTGCAGGCCCTACCCAGGGAGCCCCATGCCTCATGGCCGCGCCGTGGCCGCGCTCATGGCTGCGCCCTGCCCGTCGCGTTGCCTCATAGCTTTGGAGGCTCCCGGCCCCGCGATGGCCCCAATGCCCCGTCCTTCGACAAACAACCTGTCGGCCCGTCGGAGGGCCGCCGCAATAAAGGCGCCGCTTACGCGCGGTCCCCGCCGCCCCGCGTCCCCGCCCGCGACGCCGCGGTGACTGGAAACAAATTCGCCCGTCCCGGATGCGGCGCGCCACGCCGCGCGGAGAGAGCGGCCAGGGTGCTGATGGGTGGTCCCCGACGTCCCCGACGCATCCCTTTCAGGCTTTAAGGTCAGGCGAGGACGGCGGCGGCGGACACTTGTACACTTCCCGCGTTCAAGTCTCCGCCGCGCCGCGCGCGTCGTCTGCTAGTCCGAGTGCCGCGGCCACACTGTGTGCGAGCAAGCGCCGCGTCGGTGCACGTAAACCAAGACGACGGAGCCCCGCGCGGTCTTGTAATTTGTCGGCCGGGAGGGATCCACCTGAGAGTGCCGGGCGTCGTGTCACTCCACACAGCACCGCGCCGATAAGGAGCGTTATAACAGAGTGGACGTCAGGGCCGGCGGCAGGGACGGCGTCAGCGCGACGAGGACGAGGACGGCGTCAGCGCGCACGGCCGGCCCGCTTATCTCTGGGAGGTCAAGACCCTGCAGCTGTTGCAGGGAGGACGACGCCGAGCCCCAGGGTCCCCGTCGGTGCCCGTCGTCGACGAGGACGCGCTCGGCGGCAGAGGCAGCGGCTCCCTTCTCATTAGCCCACTGCAAATTCATGCATGGCGGCGCATTGTTAGCGCTCCGATCCCCGCGCTCCCCGATCCTTACCGGCGGCTAGGCTCCTCTGCGCGCCAGCCTCGCCGCGGGGGAAGCGGAGGGTCCACCGCCGCCACCGCCGCCGCTGCTCCGCGTCGCCCCACAAAAAATAACCCTCTTTATGATGCTCCTGTGTAAGATGATCTTCACTTTCACAGGTGAGCTTTGTCACCTTCAGGGCGCGGCGCGGCGCGGCACGGCTCGGCGGCGAGGGAGACCGTCCGTCCGTCTGCTTGTTCGACTGTCTGTCTGTCTGCCGTCCGTCCTAATGCTATTTATGAGCAGCTCGTCGTGCAGAGCGACGCAGAGCGCGGCCGCGGAGACGCAGTACCCATCATTGTCCGATTGTTAGTCTTTCATTTGGCGGGGCACCGGGGCGCTGCAGGTGACGACGCGTCGTCGACGGCGTCCTGGTCGTCGCCGTCGTCGCGGTGCGGCCGCCGCCGCGCGCCTCGCCGCGTCCCGGCGGAGGCGATCAGGATCAGATTACCGGCCGCAGTGACTAACGCTAGACGCATCGCGCGGAAAATGGCTTGATACTTGGCTACCTGAGCTCCAATAACGGGCAAGGCAGGCCGGCACGGCGGCACCCTACAGCCTCATTTGGCTGTAAAGCACACCGCCACCATTTGTACGCGCGGCCGGAAGAAAAAGTCCGGAAAGTGGAGAAAAATAAGCGCCGTTCGGACGCGATTTGGCGTCGGAGTCCTGGGCAGTTCGTCAGCGCCAAGGCCTGGATGGGCTCGCGGCAGCCTTGGCGCGGCAGCCAGGGTGCCGTGGTCGTCGTCGTCATGCTCATTCTCACCGGGACTCGCGCCGTAATCTGCGAGGTTCATCTCCACCCCGCGGTCTGAATCTGTCTCTGTCGCGACGCTGCCTGCAGCGGCCTGGCCTGCTTCGCCTGCGTCGCCTGCCTGGCGGCATCGCTGCGGTTCGTACCGCCTATCTGCGCCTCCCATCAGCAGCCTCCACCAAACAAACAATTAGTAAAAATGTCGCTTCGCTGCTCTACCCGCCGCGCCGCCGCCCCGTAACGGAACGGACCGCGCGAAACGCGGCGGCAGCGCGGCGACGTCGATCAGCGTCAGACAAATGTCGCTGGCGCTGCTGGCGCAACGAGAGGCCGAGGGAGACGGAAAAAACGGACAAAACAAACGATGCTCGTTGAGGCGCAAGTACCGAGCGAGAGGCCCCGGCCTGGACCCCGCCTCAGTGTGTGTTAATGGTTCGGCGCTCTGGACGCTCTGCCTCCGTGGGCTCTCGCCGTGTGGGGTCGCGGCCATCGCGGCCAGCGCGGGGCAGTGCGACCTCTTGACCCCGCCAGCACTACACTGTCGAGAAAAAAAAAGATAGCACGCCGAAAAAAAATAAAGGCACGTAAAAAAAGGAGCGGCAACAAGAACGTTTCTGACCGCGACGATTTTACTACCGTCAGTACGTACTCGAATGGAGCCCAACAAAACTGCTATGCTGCCCTGCACGGCTGCGCGGCCAAAGACAGCCGCAATGAAAGACCCGCCCAATTTTAGTACCGAAAACCGCACGAGGTCGCCACGGCGCCTCGACCAGTTGCACGCACACACACAGGCACACACACACGCACGAACTAACTTGTGCAACGAGTCTGCGAGATATAATAATCCACGGTGATTACCCGACGCCAGAGCCGCGGCCGCTAAAGCAAAGCCAAAGCAATGCTTAAAGCACGGCACCGATTGAAATACAGCCGTCGCGTCTCGAGTTCGTAAACGCGAGTAACAGACGGCCGCCTTATTTTAAACGCACGATCGGTCAATCCGTGCCGTGCCGTGCCCTGCCGTGCCCTGCCGCGGCGCCGCGGCACGGAGGTGGAGTGGGGGTGGGCCCCGCGGTCATAAAGTGGCCACCCGTCGGCCGCGCGCCGGCCGCCCCGTGACGAGTGGCCACCCTACACGGGAGGACGGCGTCGTGGCGGCGCCCCTACCGTCTCCCTACAGTGCGTGCTGCTCCACGGTGACGGCGATGACGGCGGTGACGAGAGCATTGCGTCAAATCAACATTCAAATCATTCTGTTGCCGCTGCCGCCACTCGCTGCTGCCCCTCGGGGAAAGATACACACACGCACACACACACACACACACACACGGCGAGGGGAGAGAGAGGGTGCGTGTTTACAAGTGCGCGCGCTTTCTTACTCTCAATCGGCGCGGACCGAAAGGAAAGGAAAGAAACAAAAAACGGCGAAGGTGAGGAGAGCGAGGAAGAGAGACAGAAAAAAAAGGAAGGAGGGCGATGCGGGGGGATGAGCTCAACGATGCTGCTGCGTGTCTCTCTCGCACCCCTGCACGGGGGTGCTCGCTCCACGAGTGCGACAGAGACAGAGCGACGAAAGAACTTTCAGCATTAGTCCTGCCGCAGCGTTGGGTGAACGCGAACCCGCGCAGTACACCTCTTCGAAACGGAAGAAGGATGCAAGCGAGGTAGAAGGGGGTGGAAAGGGGGGGGGGGGGGCATGCACCACTGTTTGACATGTACTGTACGGCTCGCTACGCCCCCTCAGCCACAAATCAGCTGGCGGTACGGTACACTGGGTACACGCGCGGCCACGGCGCGGCCCAGCAGGAGCCGGCCGCTCGATCGATCACCTCGTCCAAGTGATATTCCCTGTCCGCTTTTTCTCTCTCTCTCTCGTGGGGAGGAGGGGGGGGGGGGGCGGTGCCCGACAGTGGCGGCACAAGACGGACGCGCGAAAGTGACCTCGTCGATGCCGGTCTGGGATTGGGATTAAAGAAGCGGGGAAATGGGCAAAGAAACGCGACGATATTGGATCGCGGCATCGTCATGGTTCCACTTTTCCAGCTGAGCGGCGCGGCGGCACGGCACGGCGCGGACCCCTGCCCCGCCGCCTCGCCTCCGTAATCCTCTTAGCCGAGTCGATTGTCCCCGCCGAGGGTCAGGATATTGATACGTTTGGCGAAAAAGTATTTGGGCAGCAAGGTGCCTGGCTGCCGGGCGCGGCGCGCGTAGCTGGGGTGCGCGGTAATGGATTAGGAGGGGAATCGATTCCCGTTCCAGTCGATTGGGATTTGGGCTGCGACCCCCCGGCTCACGCCCCCTGCAACAAGTACCCCACGCTGGCCGTGCTGCCCGCACCCCGGCGGCGTCTGGAGACCCACACGCGTGGCGGCAAGCAGAGCGCAGCGCCAGGGGTTCAAGCTCACGACGTCCATGACGTCATCCAGGCTCGCTCGGCCCAAGGCATACTTACGGCCAGAGCTCGCCCAGCTTGTCCGTCTTGTACTCGTACACGTTGAACGTCATGGGCGGGTTGGCGTGGCCGCCGTTGGCGGCGTCCTCGGCGTCCTGGGCGTTGATGTTGAGCATGGCCGAGGTGGCGGCGGTCAGGGGGTGCTCCAGGGAGCTCCGCCAGCCGCCGTCCGCCTCGGCCGCGGGGTGGCTCGGCGGCGGCGCGTCCACGTCGGGGTCGCCGGGGGAGCCGCCGTCCACCGCGTCCTTCCGCCGGGTCCTGGACACAGACAGAGGCCACACCGTTAGAGCGACTCCCACTCAACGATCCCATTCCGAAGGCGTCCATCGAAAACGCCAAACACTTGTCAGCGAACAGATAAAAACTTTTATTTCCCTCGGCCGTTCTGTTCTCTGTCTCTTTTCGGGCACACCTGTCGCCGCGAATTTTCCAGGCCCGGCTGGCCGGCAAGGACACAAGACACAAGGATGTGGCTGGATGCATTAAAATCCACTTTATCACTCATGTATCACTCTCGGCCCAAAAGCAACCCTCGCGGCGCGGCCGGCACGGGAAACGCCAAACGCGGCTCTTGCGGGAACACTAAACCACGGCAATAAACATAGCCTTTTACAATCCGCCTCTAAAACAAGTTTCCAAAGCTTTCTTGGCGCTGCGCGCGCGAGCTGAGGCCGTTTGGCGTGCGTGGTGGTGAGACGCTGTGGGGGCTGCCCCTCGCGCGCACAAGTGCATACTCACACACACGCACGCACACACCTACAAAGTTCACCTGCGGCTTTAACAAGCGCCCTTTCTGCCTCGCCTTCCGGGTCACCCTGCACTCCCTGCGGCTCCCTGCAGTGCAGCGCCGCGACGGCAGCCGTCCTTGCCAACTGGACACGTGTCGCCGACATCATCATCATGCAATCGGGTCAGTCGCCGCGTCTCTCTCGCACTCACAGCGCGCCCCGCGTTGCGGCGAGGCGCCGTTCGGAATCGGACTAAGTGGCGCGTGTTCTCGCGCGGCCCCCGCCGCACAGTGGGCCAGAAGACCGGTGGAGGCAGTGCCCGCGCCCCGGGGCCGCCGCCGTGTCACACGGTAGCGACGTGCAACCAACGCGGTGGGAGGAAAATGGCCGAAATGCAGATACAATCACCGCCAGTAAATAACGCACGTCTTTGTCTTTCGAGGGGTTGCTCGCCGTCGGCTTGATTCGGCTTGATCTTCATTTGTCAACGTCATGTAGTCAAAGACGAGGCTCTTCCCCGTATCGGCCGCCGAGGACGCCGACGACGACGAGGACTCCGAGAGCGTCTATCAGGAGATGATCCATCCCCGTCGCGCGCCGCGGCCGGGCCGTGGCGGCAGCGCAGGCCGGCGAGGAGAAGACCGCCCGGCCGCGGAGCGCGCACCTCATTTCTCAAAAAGTGTTTGCCTCTCTTTGCAATCGCAATCAGGAGGCAAGGCGATCACAATCTTCGTCGCGCCCTGCAGCGCTCTGTCTCTCTCGCTCCCGCGGCACGCCCCGCGAGTGCGAGAGAGAGAGAGGAAAGCACACTGCCAATGCGGCTCATTAGCAACTCTAGCCCTCCAGCCTCCTCGCCACTTTGTTTTCCTGCCCAAACCGGCGCGACGTTTTTCCGGTTTTGGTGACAGCTTCGATTTTTCTCGCGACGACGACTCACTTAGCATGCGCTCGGAGGGGCTTGACGGCTCGGAACCACAACACCGAAGGCTGGCCGCCAGTGCGTGCATTGCGGGTTATTAAGTGTGAGAACCTGACCGCAGGCTGGGCGACGGCCCGCCTCGGCCCGTCGACCACCCCGAGGAGTAAAGTCTCCGTCAGGACGAAACAATGTCTCTGCGTCATTAATTCCACGTTATTAATAGTTGTCGAGTCTCTCCTTGACGTACTCAGGCGCGCGCGACGCTGTCGCAACCGTCCGACACGACGCCGACGTTCGTTGCTTCGGTTCGTTCTGCCAATAATTGGCACGGCAGTGCGAATAAGGTTTCTCTCCTGCGCGCACGTGCGCGACGACGACGACGCGAACGCTGCGCTTTCGTCGCTCTGTCTCTCTCGCACGCCAACGGGACGCTCCATGAGTGCGAGAGAGACAGACCGGTGCGGCGCGCCTCGGGTCGAACGGGCAGAACGAACGAAAGAACGAACCAAGACACTGCAAGACCGAGAGTCCCTCACGCTTGGCGCGCTTGGCGCACGGCACGCGTCATGTCGTTACAAAAGCACGGCGCGGCGCGTGGCGGCACGCAGTGCACGCTCGGCCTGCTAGTTAGCCAGCAGAGGCGGCTAGTTAGCCAGTGTCCGGCCGCCTGGCGTGTCACAAGCTAGTCACAGGGCCGGTCTCAGAGCTGGTCACAGGGCTGGTCAGAGGACCGAGGGCCTCTCGAAGGCTGGCCACAGGGTCGGTCACAGTCTGGTCACAGACTGAGGCCAGTCAGAAGCACACTGGTCACAGAAAGATCCCGCTCCGGCGTCCCAGACGAGGCTGGCAGGCCACGCCCGGCGATGAATTTGTCACGGCAGAAACATCTCGGGGAACTAATGCAAGTAACGAATGACGCGTCCACCTCGATATATATATTAATTAATTAGCCATTCATGAGCTGCAGCGAGGCCCTTCGCCAGGGCGGCGCGGAGATTCACGGCGCGGCGGACGGACGGACAGACAGACAGACCTAAAGATAGGTGCACAGCTTTTACCAATACCCGCCGACGATTTTTTTTCTTTTCCCTTTTGATCGATTGTTCCGATCCAGGCCGACATTTCACAGGCCAAGGAGCCGCGCGCGTTGATCCCGAGGAAGACCATCATCATCATCGGGCTCCTCGTCATCATCCCCGCGACGCCATACATGGCGTTTTAATTTTTGCCAACAGTCGCATTAATCATAATTATTACGAAACGACGTTCCGTTTCGCGGACCGTTCGGCGCGCGGCCCCGTCCCCGTGTCCGTCCGTCCGTCCGCCCGGCCTGGAACATCAATTATTTTTCGCTCTATGTCCCTTGCGTGTGTTCCAGCCCGCGTGTTTGGGTGAGTGTGTCAGAATGTGTGCGTGTTGCGTGAGTGTGTGTGTGCAAAACTTTTAGCCCTCGAGCTAGCTGGAAGGAAAAGATACAGTGCTGTGGTGATCCGTTCCGTTCCTCGCTAGACGAATGTCAGTGTCGACAAACCAACACAAACACACACAAACACACCACTGAGGCCCGTGCCGCGTGTATCCTTGCAGCAGACGCACAATTATCATCAAGAAGCTTAGATATGAAGGCCAAATGGTGAGGTAGTGTCTTCTCTGGACGGGCAGACACACGCGATACGGCGCGCCTGCCACACACACACACACACACACACACACACACACAGTGGAGGCACGTGACACGCTTTGCATAACAGATCCCAATCCGAGTCACAGCGAGATAAGTCCGTGTACAGCAGCAGCACCTAGAGCGTCACGCAGAGTGTGCCGTGGTGCCGTGCGCCAGCCAGGCCGGACAATACACCGCAAAACGAAACACTTGCATGACCTCTCGTGCTTTTCTTAAAACTGTTTTGAGTTTTTTTTGTTTTCTTTTTTTCGTGTGTTTATTTCGCTGTTGGGCTGCCGAGTGTGCGTGTGAGGCGCAGGGCGGCGTTTAATTTCGGCCGGGGAGCCGCGAGCCGCCGCGCGTCGCCGCGAGGAGTATGTCGGAGGTCACGCCGGGGCCGAGCCTCTCTCTCTCTCTCTCTCTCTCTCTCTCTCTCTCTCTCTCTCTCTCTCTCTCTCTCTCTCTCTCCGCGGGGCGCCCCGCGAGTGCGACAGAGCGACGAGGCGCTGTTCGGAGTCAGCCTTGCAGGGCCCCACCTCATTTCCATTCCTAACAACGACTCCATTCAGCGGCGATCAATCTCTCGCTAATTTACGGCAGGGGCTTATGAATGTTTCATCGAGCGGACTTGTCCGCGACGCGTCCGCGACGTGTCCGCGACGTGTCTCTCTGGCGTCCCTCTAGCGTCCGTCTGGCATCCCTCTGGCGTCCCTCTGGCGTCCCTCTGGCGGCCTCTGGCGGCCTCTGGTGTCAGTGACGCAACCGCTAAAAGGGCACGCAGGTACCCTAAAAGTGGACAGACACTCCGGCGCGTTATCGAACGACAAGGCTGAGGCCGAAGCGAAGCGGCGGCCTCGTATACAGTGTAATGGTCTTGGCTTTCCCCCGCTGCCGCCCCGCCGCCCTGCGCGCTTTTGTCTCTCTGTCTCTCTCGCACTCATGGACCGCCGCGAAGGGGTGCGAGAGAGACAGAGAGCGCTGCTCGGAGTCCGCGTGCGGCCAGAGGGAGTGCTAATCCCTAAGTAACGAGCGGGGAGCGCGGCGGGCATTTCGCTAAAAGAAGACGTCGATATAGGTCGCGGATGATATACGAAGTTGATTACTTCGACCGCCGCCTCGCGCGCTAGGCCTCTCTCTCTCTCTCTCTCTCTCTCTCACTCACTCACTCACACACCGCAAAGGAGGAGGATTCTCACACATTTTACGGCCTCCTCTCCGCGATTCGATAATGAGTGAGCGCCAGCAAGCATAGGTAGAGTTCGAACAGAGCTCTCCGTCGCCCTTGTCTCTCTCGCACACTTACAGAGCGCCCTGCGAGTGCGAGAGAGGCAGCGGCGACAAAGCGGACCCGAGGGTGTTCATTCCGCGCGGTGGTGTTTACCCCACGACACCTCCCACTTACTTGCCCCCCCCCCCTTTTCCCCTCCCCCTTTCGCAGTGCCCTTTCGCCGCGGCTCCTGATTGGCCCGCGCGCTCACTCGCCACCTTCCCAAGTCATAATTATTGGCCGAGCAGCGCGGATGGCCACTTAGGAGCCGCGAGAGGAGAGCGAGAGAGAGAGGATCCTTTGGCGCGCCGCGCTCGCTTCGCGTCTCCGTTGGCGGAGACCAATCCGTCGTCGTCCTCGCGCGCCAAATCGGGCCAAATTTCCCGCCAAACAGCAATCATCGCGACGGCGGGAATAATCACGGTGCGTGCGACCGGAGTCACGTCGCAGGAAAGCTGCAGGAAAGCTGCAGGAAACGCGCGGGACAGTCTTGCGGCGTTACGTCACGGGCTTTATATCTGATGAAATTTATCTCCACATCAATCAAAGTGTCCCGACGCGCGGCTCGCTGCCGTGCTGCCCGCCCCGCCGGCCGGGGCGGCCGGTGGACGCTGTCCCGGAGAATTAAAGTGAAAAGCCCGAAGATTGAATTCGGGAGCCGTCCGGCGGACCGCGGCTGGA